GCTCACACCGTGCCCGCCGGCGTCAGGTGTCGAGAATAGTCGAAGCCAAGCGTTTAAATCAAATCTCGAGCGCGAGCGACCAACGCAACTATTCTCCAAGATTCCGGACTTCCTATACTAGGTATTGCTCACTGCCCATCTTCTATCTTGGTCCGCTACTTAACTCGTCCATAGTAGGCGTCCTTTCTCGCTGAATTTGCGTTTCCTGAATGGTTTTTGTGTCATGGCGCTGTTCGCAATCAATGCGGGTCACTCACCGTCTTCCCTCAGATTCGATATACCCATCGATAACATACCCTGTAAGCGGCGGTTGGAATTGCCCTGATCTATCAGCGAGCACCTCTAAGACTTCGACATAGTCTCGCGCCAAGCGCTCCCAGCCCTCCACCTCGTTCTTGCGCTCATTCTCCCTGATATCCCAGCCCCAGGACAGCAAGGTCACAACCAGAAGGCGCACACCGTCAGCTCCGGCAGGCAAGTGATCATTCCAACTTGCCGTTTCTCCAGCGCTGAGCACTAGCGTCTCCCCAACTCCTCGACGTTCGGCCGGTTGCTGTGAGACCCATTGACGTGGTAGACTCCTGTCGACGTCATAATCTAACTCGGTCTTACGCCGTGTTTTGTCCGCCGCCCGCTCACTCCAGATGGTCTTTGACTTCGTGCCGATGAGATCTAATATGTACAGAGACCCGGGGCTGACATCGCTGTTCTGACTCATCATCAGAGGGCCTTCCTTCTGTACGCAATCAGGTCGTTTACTCCGGGCTGCGATTAATCCAACATACCGCGTTGCTCAGCTCGAATTCCAGATAACTCTTTGCGACCCGACACGCCAAGCCAACATCCACTCCGCCCCTCAGCCTCGCTGGCACGTCAACAAGGTATCTCGTCATACCTGTTCTCATGAACCAATCCTTACGACTTTCCAGTATGATTCCCAGCGACTTGCACTCCTTCTCGTAATGCTACGACGAAGGTAAGTAAGCACCACGTCGTCTTAAACATTCATCGTCACTCACTCGCATGCCGTGAGGGTAGAGTTCGGACGCAACCACACCGGTGATCATCGAAGCAGCGACTTTTGCGCGATGTCCACCGGGTTTTTTGAGGCATCTATTCGGCAACAATGGGTCCGGCTTCTCTGGGATACCATCAAGGCCTTTGACGTCCCACTCATGCACTTCTCCATCTTCGCCGATGCCAATGTCTGACACATCCGTCCCGTGGCCGACCATCGGGATGTCGAAATCGTCTTCAGAAACCCGCTCATGTGCCGGGTTGTCATTCGTCACATTCGCCTTTTTGTATGCTATATAGACATCAGCCTTGGCCGAACCATTGGAGGGCCACTTGCTTACCGTTGACTTCGATTGAGTGAGTCAAAATTTGTGCTGAAATGCGCGAATGCGATGTTGACTCCATCTGGCTGAAAGGTGGGAGTGTGGTATAGACATCACTTGGCTGAAACCGTCCTGGAAATCGACAAACAGATTCGGCACTAGACTATGTGAGTGACCTTTCGCACTGGACGTGCATCGAGCGTACTGATGGATTCCTTTTGGTCCTGCAGTGTACCATACGCAGACTCCCGAACACCTTTGCGCCACATACCCCGCCATCATCGTCAGCGCCGCGTTGGCCTCGGACGCAAATCTACCTGGATATCAATATTTTTACGGGGCAAGAAGCATGATGCGCACTCTTCAGCCTCTTCGGCACTAGCACAATCGTCCGTCAATTTACCCTCCCACTCTGCCAGATCTTTTTTGTACCATGCTTCTCTTCTATGCTCTATCTCCGATTGAGCGCTCTCATCTGAGATCTGGAGATGTTCGACGGCGACATATTCCATCATAACATCACGGGCAGTGACAGACACGTTCGTGGCTATCGCGATAGCGATTGCGGACGTCATGAGCTCATTAACTCGCTCCTCCATGTCGTTCGTCCAGCGTCCCGAGTCC